TATTACAAGCTCTCTCTCTCTCTCTCTCTCTCTCTCTCTCTCTCTCTCTCTCTCTCTCTCTCTCTTTCTCTCTCTCTCCTGTGCACTTCATAGGAGCAGAGGTGGGTGTGAGTGTGTATGAGTTTACATGTGTGCATGTGTGTATGGGTATGTGTATGAGTTTAATGCATGTGCATATGTGAATATGAGTGTGTGTGTGAGTGTTTGAGTGACTGTGAGTCTTTGCATGTGTGAATGTGGATGAGTATGCATACATGTGTGTGTGTGTGTGTATGTGAATGTATGAGTATGTAGGCCAGAGGTTGGTATAAGATACTGTCCTAAGTTTCTCCATGTTTTCCATTTTGAGACAGGATCTCCCACAGAAGCTGGACCTCATCATTACAGCCAGACTGGCTGGCCAGCTGGCTCTGTGATCCTCCCTGGATCCGCTTTCTCGGTGCCACAATGACAGGCACATGTCACCGTGCCTGGTATGTGGGCGCTGAGGATCTAAACTCAGGCCCTCATCCTTGCCTGGCAAACACATTCACCAAACCACCTCCCCAGCCCCCAGAGGGAGTTTTTTTTTTTTATCTGTTTTCTGCTCTGTCTCCAACACACGGACTATCAGAGTTCAATAAACATTGTTGAACTAATTCCTTTACCTTTCCTTAAATTCAAATTCCTTTCCTTATAGAATAGTCCATAATTTTTCAGGTAAACCTACACTTATTAAACCATCAAAGAATAACTCTGGGGAATTCTCAGTAAAGCTACCACAGGAACATGATTCTGAAATCATCCAGGGACCTGGAAATCATCAGCCATCTCTAACACCCAGTGGCAGGGCTTGGGAGACTGTGCTTCCAGCCAAAGGCTGGACCCAGATCATCCTCTCACTGTAAACAGCTAGGAAGCCTGGTGACTTTATACACAGCTGTGTTGTACAGACAGTGGGGGAGGTCGGCAGTCCTTGAAATGGTTATTTGCATGTAGCTGACATGTGCAACTCTCTACTCCACATACACAATACAAATATAGTTAAAAAATTTTAAAGCAAGTGTGTTCTAATGTATGCATATATTCTTTTTATCTATTTTCATATACATATTATATGTATATATTATATTTACATATGTTACAATTCCTTCTGTTGAGAAGTGGAGGCTCACACTCCCTATGAGTCTAGCTGGCCCCAGTAACAGAACAGTTTCTCTATGATTCCTATGTCCAGCTCATAAAAGGTCTGGAATCTCTGGGCATGTTCACTTTGCGTGAAGATAGCTGCTGTGTAAAATACTTGTCATCAATATTGATTGTCAAACTGCTAGGATCTAGAATTATATAGGATACCCCTGGACATGCCTGTGAGGGAATTTCTAGATTGGGTTAATTGGGGTGGGAAGACCCTGAATGTGGGTGGAACCATTCCATGAACAGGGTCCTAGATAATATAAAAGGAGGAAAAAACCGAATTGAGCAGCAGTGTTCATCACTCTGCTTCCTGACTATAGATGCAATGGAACCTTCCATCTCAAGTCCTTGCTGCTGGGTCTTCCCCACCATGATATACTGTACTCGGCAGCTATGAGACAAAGTAAGTCACTCCTACCTCATTCTCAGGTATTTTGTCATAGTGACACACAGCTAACACGACACTTGAACAATCAGAGACTATATTTCTCCAAGAAACCAGATTGCTTGGAGAAAGGGGGAGATATTTAGGCAGCTGAAGCTGTCTGTTCATCCACCCATCTATCCATCCACCCATTCAACTATCCATTTACTCATCTATTCATCTCACCCGTTCACCTACCCATCTACCCATCCATTTATCCATATATGCACCCACCCACCTATCTATCCATCTACCTACCCATCCACCCATCCATCCACCTATCTACCTGCCCACCTATTCATCCACCACCCACCCATCCTTCCTTCTATCCATCCATCCATCCATCCATCCATCCATCCATCCATCCATCCATCCATCCATCTGCCTATCCACCTGCTCACCTATTCATCCACCCACTCACCCATCTACCCACTGACTTAACCATCTACTCATTTACCTATCCATTCATCCCAGGTGCCAGACAGATGAGTGGAAAACTATCTGGCAGGGTGAGAGAAATAACTTAGTGGTTAAGAGAAATTGTTGATTTTGCCAAGACTCTGAATTTAGTTTCCAGCTTCCATGTCTGGCAGTTCAAAACTGTGTAACTCCAGTGCCAGGGGATCTGATGCCCTCTTCTGGCCTCTATAAATAGGCACACACATAAGGCATACAGTCACACAAACTCACATACAAATAAAGACAGAAAAATAAGAACATTCAATGACAGAAGATACAACAAAGAGAAGGGGTGAGGTATCCATATTCATGATCATGAGGAATCATATGTATATTCCATCTGCAAGGTCTCATCCTCCTACCTCATCCAAGTCACCCTAAATGCAGACCTGTCCGTGGAGAGTAGAACTGAGCTGTGTCTCTGTCTCCTATCCCAAAACCGAGAGCATAAATATGTACTAATTAGTATAACTCAGTTTTGGGGTGCTTTGTTATGTAGCAACAGGTAACTGCAAAATACAACTGTGACACCTCATAAAACTCACCAGAAGCTATCAATTCCATGGGGACAATAATAGTGCTTTCTCAGTTCATCACCACATGTCTTAGTTACTTTTCTATTGCATGACAAGGCACTATGACCGAGATAGCTTATAAAAGTATTTAATTCGGGAATCACAGTTCCTGAGAGCTGGATTCCATGACCATTATGGCAGGAAGCGTGACAGCAGCCCCTGCAGGCATGGAGCTGGAGCATTAGCAGAGAGTTCACATCTTGATCTCCCTGCATGAGGTATCTCCCTCAACAAGGCCAACAAGGCCACACCTCCTAATCCTTCCCAAACAGTCCCATCAACTGTGGACCAAGCATTAGTACATTTGAGCCTATGGAGAGGCCATTCTCACTCAAACCAGGACACCATGTTACTGACATTAACCACTGCATATCAGAACAAATAAGTAGAGGCATGAAAGAGAAAGGCACTCCACTCTGTCCCCACCCCTCCCTTGTCATCATAGAATTGGGAAGTCATACACATTGTTCTCCATTTGCCCTATAAAACCCTCAACCAAATAAAGCTGTTCTTAAAATGTGTGACGGATTAGAGACTGGAGAGCCCAGACACTATTCCTCCCTACCTGAGGTTAGGAAATGAGGTCATAAAATCCAGTTTACTTGGTTGATTCTACTGAATGTGAAATGACATTCAGTCTGTTTGTGTTATCTTGGTCCACAAATCTTCAGAAACAGGCTTCTTAAGCAGCTTATTTATCCGAACTATTGTCTGAATCTCCCTTAACATTAATGAGCACTTATTTAGGCTTCTGATATGAATGGCACATCCATAGCTTGGTAGAAGGGAAACAATGCCAAGTCTCAACATTCCATATCATTTTAAAAAGTAGAGGACATGCATAAAATTTTTTAACGTGTTCAGAAGCACCCCACTTCTGCTTTTATGGGTCAGATGGAGCACAGAATGTGATGCAATGATGATATGACCTCAAATGCTCATTTTATGCAGATGAGTCCAGATGTCATTGAGATGGGCTTTTGTACTACTTTTATAGAAAAATATGCCTGATGAATCATGTCATGGGGAAGAGCCACTAGCAGCTCCATGGATTTTATGATCTTGTTATTTATATGGTCCATAGATACGAACTAATGACCAAATTTATCCCCATGTGTTAAACAACCTTTGCTTTTCACAAATCTCAAAAGCTATGATATATTTTGCATTAAAATGCTCACC